AACTTGAAGGCACACACACACGTTATGTATCCATGTATATACTCTTGTTTATGCCTGTTTCAGTAGTCAGTAATCTTTAGATTTTGGACTTCAACATGAATTTGTTAACCAGGAAGATTGAAGTAGACTTTCCTTCAAACTCTTTTTTCAAGAATGAGTGGGTACCCCCAAAAACTGTACTCACCTCATATGCGTGACTATCCTGATATAAGATGTTACATCAGGCACAGCCAAACGATGGCCCTCCAGGTGTTTTGGACTTTAACTCCCACAATTCCTAACAGCTGGTACCGGCTGTTAGGAATTGTGGGAGCTGAAGTCCAAAACACCTGGAGGGCCATCGTTTGCCCATGCCTGTGTTAGATGTTTGTGATTGCTTGCATGCCACATTCTGGCTGAAGATACAAATTAGTTCTGAAGTTTTTTCATGTGGCTGTCTCCTCTAGGTCTATGCGGCTCTGGAAAATACAGGATGAACAATGTGTTTTCTTCTTCTCAGGTGTAGACAGGCCCATAGTTGAAATCTTATTACAGGACTTTCTCTGCAGGGAGAGGCGAGCATCTGAGGAAGCAGGCTTAGGATCTTTCTCCCAGGCTCTAAGGTGCCACAAGATCCTTTCACTTATTCCGTGGCAGGGGGTTGGACTAGATGGACCATGTGGTCTCTTACAACTCTATTATTCTATGATTCTGTGACTAATATTCCAAATGAATATGGTTCTAGGCAAGTCCAAACTTGTTCACCCACTCAACTAAATGTAAGGCCAGAATAATTGCCCAGGCTGTTGCAGTGATAATAGAAACATCCAACTACACTATTACTTTTTGGTTTTGTTTTAAAAAATGTTGTTTTCCTAACCCATGCATATTTTGTAACAAAACAACAGAGCTGAAAACATTGGTCCAATGTTCTAGTATGTGAAAAAGTAGTCAGCGTGTACCTTAGCTTCTGTGCATTTAAAACAGAATTGTGATTTGTGGGTAATAGATTTGTGGGTGATAGAGAAGAGCGAAAGAAGCTAAAACTCTACTACTTCTTTCCACCTGATGCCAAGGAAGCTGTCCTAACCCTAAACCACTGCCTTTCATCAGTAATGGACTGGATGAGGGCAAACAAATTGAAACTTAATCCAGACAAGATAGAGGTACTCCAGGTCAGTCAGATCAGGGAATAGGGATTCAGCCAATGCTGGATGTGGTTACACTCCCCTCAAGACAGGTCCACAGTTTGTGGGTCCTCCTGGACTCGATATTGAATGTGGAGGCCCAGGTATTGGCAGTGTTGAGGAGGGCCTTTGCACAATTAAAACTTGTGTGCCAACAGTGCCCATTCCTTGAGAAGCCCAATCTGGCCACAGTGGTACATGCTTTAGTTACATCCTGTCTGGATTATTATAATGTGCTCTACACAGGGATGCCTCCCTCTATGACCCATCTCGGAGGTTAAGATCATTGGGGGAGATCCTGCTCTCAGTCCCACCCTCCTCACAAGTGTGACTGGTGGTGATGAGATAAATTGCCTTCTCAGTGGTGGCTCCATGGCTGTGGAACTCTCTCCCCAGTGAAATTAGATCTGCTTCATCTCACCTGACCATCACGAAAAAAACTGAAAACATGGTTCTGGGATCAGGCTTTCAACCAGTAACAGGAGTAGTGCAATATGAGACTACAAATTAATATAATGATCACTTGGACCGGACCTGGAATACGATTTGGATCATGTGATTTTAATTGATGTTTTAATGCTATGTTTTTAATGGGTTTGGTTTTAAAGTTTTTGTTTATTTACCACTGTATTCATATATGGCATTGAACTGTTGCCTTTGTAAGGCCGCCCTTCGGGGTTGAGAAAGGTGGGATATAAATGTGGTAAATAAAAATAAGTAAGAGTGCTCAGAAACTTTGGCTGGTCCAGGTTACTCACTGGGGCTGACTACAGGGAGCAGACAACCTTCTTGTTGCAGCAGCTTCAATGACTGCCAGTCTGTTTCCGGGCACAATTGAAAGTGCTGGTTATGACCTTCAAAGCCCTAATGGTTAAGGTCTAGGCTATTTGACTAATTGAATCCCCTTATACAAACCTGCCCAGGCCCTGGGATCGTCAGGAGACGCCCTTCTCTCAGTCCCACTTCCAATCTCAAGCTCGGTTGGTGGGAGCAAGAGCTGTGGCCCAGTCTGTGTTCTGTGTGTGTATATTTGTGTATATGTGTATATATGTGGTTTAGCACATATATTGTAATGTATTTTTTTATTTTTTTGGCTTTTAAAGTCTCTTCTGCTGTGTTTTTCAGTGTTTTAATGAGTGATTGTCACTTGTTGACCTGATAGGTGTATTGTGTCCAAATTTGGTGTCAATTTGCCCAGTGGTTTTTGAGTTATGTTAATCCCACAAATAAACATTACATTTTTATTTATATAGACTAGCTATCCCCTGCCACGCGTTGCTGTGGCCCAGTCTGTGTATATGTGTTTTGTGTGTGTATATATATGTGTGTGTGTATATATTTGTGCATATGTGTATATATGTGGTTTTGTGCATGCGTTGTAATGTATTTTATTATTATTATTGGCTTTTTAAGTCCTTTCCACTGTGATTTTCAGTGTTTTTGTGAGTGATGGTCACTCGTTGGCCTGATAGGTGTATTGTGTCCAAATTTGGTGTCAATTCGCCCAGTGGTTTTTGAGTTCTGTTAATCCCACAAATGAACATTACATTTTTACTTATATAGATTGTCGTAGACGTTCATGGCCGGAATCACTGGGTTGCTGTAAGTCTTTCGGACTGTATGGCCATGTTCCAGAAGCATTCTCTCCTCACCTCACAACCTCTGAGGATGCCTGCCATAGATGAGGAGAAACGTCAGGAGAGAATGCTTCTGGAACATGCCCATGGAGCCCGAAAGACTTACAGCAACCCAAAATATTCGTTTAGGGGTGCCTTTGTTTACTGCACACTTCGCCTGCATTGTTTCAGACCTTGATCCGATTTCAGGAGGGACGCCACGAGCGCGACTCCTGGTAGCCCCGCCTCCTTCCCCCCTCCCCCCCCGGCGCTGGCCCCTCCCAGGCGGCAGGCAAAGAGGCGGGCGAGTGGGCGTGGCTTGGCGAGAACCAGCGGGTTAGGTTGAGCCTGACTGCGTGTGCCTATAACTTTGTGTTGCCGCTCCTGGTTGTTAGGAGAAGGAATGCGGGCGCCAGCAGAGCGGAGCGCGAGCCGGGAAGGAGGAGGAGGCTGCTGCTACTGCTCGCGCGGGCTGCAGCAGGCACGAGACCCGCTTCCGCTGCTGGTGCTGTTCCTTCAGCAGGCGCATCTCTGGAGGAATCGGGATCGGGCTGCTTCTAGGACGGCTTCCCCTTTGGAAGCCTGAAGCGGAGCCAGTTGCAGAGAAAACAGGAGCTCCGGCACCCCCTTTCCTTCCTGGGATTTCTCTCCAGCTTGGACCGAGCCACGCTTGTTTCCTTGCTTCTTTTCTCCTGGAGTGCGAAAGGGAAGGGAAGAAGGAAAGGGAAGAAGGGGAGCCCTGTCAAGATGGCAGCAGCAGCAGCAGCGAGGAAAAGAAGGAGGAGGTTATGAATGCGGTGCCGCCGTGGGTGCAGCAGGGAGAAAACCTTGCAAAGGAGGAAGAGAAAGAGGAGAAGGAGGAGGAGGACTTCGGGGCTTCCTCTCTCTTTCCGGACCTGTTGGGGGAAAAGACCCGCTGCTGCTTGGGACCCTTGGCCGCTTTCCCTCTCTTCTCTCCCCCAAAGAGGATTGGAGGGCAAGGAGAACCACTGAGCTCCCTCTCTGGCGTATTTTTTTGTCCGTTCCTCCGTTTCTCTCCCCCTCCCTCTTCTGGAGTATTGGCATTTCTTCCGATTTTTCAGGGCGGAGGAAGGAGGAGCGAGGTTGGGACCCTCGTCCGCTTTCCTTCCCTTTTTCTCTCTCTCCCCGAAAGAAGATTTGAGGGCAAAGAGAACAGCGTATTTTTTTGTTAGTTCCTTTCGTTTCCCTCCTTTTCCCCCCTCTCCCTTTTTTTAGTATTGGCATTTCCCCCCATTTTTTCAGGGCGGAGGAAGGAGCAGCTGCTGCTGCAGGGCGCGATGGTGTGCCTTTGAACCAGCCTTTGGAGAAGGAGGAGGAGAAAGAGAAGAAGACCCTTCTTGGGACCGAAGCGCCTGCCTTTTTCTGCCCCTAGTCTGTGATGTGGGCAATGGGGCCGGGGTCCCTCGGCTGCCATTGGAGGAATCCGGCGCCACGGAGTGAAAGATAAACAAACACACGGTTTGCTGCCTTTGCGCGTGAGAGAGTCCGTCCCAGTCTCGCTTTTGGAGGAGGAGGAGGAAGGACTCCCCTGGCGGAGGGGCATCTCTCTTTCTTTCTTTCTTTCTTTCTTTCTTTCTTTCTTTCTTTTCTTTCTTTCTTTCTTTCTTTCTTTTCTTTCTTTCTTTCTTTCTTTCTTTCTTTCTTTCTTTCTTCCCCAACCAGAAGAAGGGGGAAAAGACCGCACTCGAGAGGGAAGGGGCTTCTTTTTCTCCCTTCGCTTTTCCAACTGCCCGTCCCATTGCTTTTGAGGGAGGAGGACTGGGCTCAGGAGCATCTCTCTTCTCAAACCAGAAGAGGGAAGGAAAAAGGGAGAGCGGAGGGCTGCTTTTTCCTTCCGCGCCTCCTCTGTGGAGATTTCGATTTTCCAGTTGGTTTTTTTCCCATTGAAAAAAGGGGCGACCGAAGTGGTATTTAGTCGTTTTCCCCCTCCCTTTCTTAGCGTGGGACCTCGGATTGTGGGATAGAGGCCGTTTTCATCCTTCAAGCAGCGAAAAAGGAGCTTTTTCCCCCTCATTTGGGACCTTTGATTGTGGGATCGAGATCTTTTGCTTCCTTCCACCACCACCTTTTGCGGGTGTTTTTTTTCCCATTGCTATTCAAGCCGGAGGAGCTTGAATGGAGAGTGGCGCGTTCTTCGCCCGGCCTCGGTGATCCTTCTCTTGTTGTCTCTCTCTCACTGAAGAGTCCAGCGCGGGCTCTTTCCTTCCTTTCTCTCTCTCTCTCTCTCTCTCTCTTCGGGCCGCTCCCCCTGGGCAAGGATGGCCGAGGCGTCTCCGGCGTCGCCGCTGGACGTGGAGCTGGACCCGGACTTCGAGCCCCAGAGCCGCCCGCGGTCCTGCACGTGGCCCCTGCAGAGGCCCGAGCTGCAGGGCCAGCCCGGGGCGGGAGGCGGTGCGGGAGGGGGCGACGCCATGATCCCCGAGGAGAAGGACGACGACGAGGAGGACGACGAGGAGCCCGCGGGGCCCGCGGCGGGGAGCGAGGACTCTCCCACGGCGGCCACTCTCCCGCAGGGCGCCTTTCCCCCGGGCCCCAATAAGCAGCCCCAGCAGCAGCAGCAGCCCTCCTCTCCTCAGGCAGCAGCGCCGCCCCTGCCGCCCCCTCCGCCCCAGGCGCCGCGGAAGTGCTCCTCCCGGAGGAACGCGTGGGGCAACCTGTCCTACGCGGACCTCATCACCCGCGCCATCGAGAGCGCGCCCGAGAAGCGCCTCACCCTCGCCCAGATCTACGAGTGGATGGTGCGCTGCGTGCCCTACTTCAAGGACAAGGGAGACAGCAACAGCTCCGCCGGGTGGAAGGTGAGCGCGCGCGAAAGAGAGGGAGGGGATGGGGAAGGGGGGCAGGGGAGGGAGCAAAGGTCCCGCGCGCCCAGGCACTCCCTCGCTCGCGCCACACACTCACACAATGGACCTCTGGGCGCGAGGGCGGCAGGCAGCCAGGCAGGCAATTGGGCGCGTGACGAGCCCCCTTCTTCTTCTGCCGGGGGGGGGGGGGGGGGAGATTGTTTCCCACTCCGAACCCTCCAATCAGCGCTCCAGGAAAGAGCGGGAAAAACAGCCACGCGTTTAAAGATTCCCCCCCCGCTCCTCCCCCCGTCTCTCTCGTGCTCTTGAGTATGAGGCTATTATCTATAGATGTATATATATAGAAAAGAGTATGAGGGAAAGAGAGATGTATACAGAGCAAGCATTGGCCAACTTGGGCCCTCCCTCCAGATGTTTTGGACTTCAACTCCCACCATTCCTAACAGCTTCGGGCCCCATCTCCCCCATCAGAGGAATGGTGAGAGTTGGAGTCCAAAACACCTGGAGGGAGGGCCCAAGTTTGTCCATGCCTGATATAGAGGGAGTGGCTGTGAGGGATACATCTCTGTCTATAGAAAGAGAGGGAGTGAATGAGGGGATATATTATAGAGAGGGAAGTGAAAATATAAAAAGAGAGAGAGAATGAGGGAAATTATATGTATAGAGGGAATGAAGGAAATACTGTATATAGAGAGGGAGGTATATAGAGAGAGAATGAAGAAAATATATAGAGAGGGAGGTCTATATAGAGTGACGGAAATTATATAGAGAGGGATATAGAGAGAATGAAGGAAATACTGTATATAGAGATATATAGAGAGAATGAGGGAAAATATATATAGAGAGGGTATATACATATATAGGGGGAGAGAGAGAAAGTATGGGGAAATATATAGAGAGAGAATGGGGAAATATATGGAAAGAGTGAGGGATAGATATATAGAGAGTGTGAGTGAGATACATATGTGTATGAGGGATATATATGTATGAGAGAGAGTGTATGAGGGAAGTATATATAGAGGGGGGTATGATATATATAAAGAGAGAATGAGAGAAATATATAGAGAGATAGAGAGTATGAGGGATATATATATATAAATAGAGAGAGAGAGAGAGAGAAATGGAGAACGAGGCAGATATATATCCCTCATACTCTAGGAAAGTGTGTGCGCTTGTGGGTATGTAATATATGTGTGCATATTACTAAGCGTTTTCTGCCTTAAATGGATTTTGTGGAAAATTGATAAGTTATTCCTCATATATTTGAACTTCCTTAGAATTAAGATGAATGGTGTAAAAGGGTGGTTAGTTTTCCCCAGATAAGTCTCAGGACAGATTAAGCCATCTCACCTTGGTAATTAGAATACATATTGAGCATTTCTTATCTGGAATTGCAAAATACTCCAAACTTGTCCATATGTGTGGCTGAGATAGTGATACTTTGGCTTTTCCGAGGCTTCAGTGTACACAGACTGTGTTTCTTATACCATGTTGACGTATTTCTTTGAGTGCAAGACATAATGGACCGTAAAATGCATACCAATTTCAGTATCCCATTATTAAAAAAGCTGAATTGATACATATACAATGCATCTGTGATTCTAAATCACACCCCATTGTTTGAGATGTTTATATGAGGGGAAAAGTTGATCTCAGTATCAAGGAAATACAGTATTAAAATATTGTGGGTATTACCTGATGCTCTACGTATATGAAACATATATGCATTTTGTATTTAGACTTGAGTCCCATTGGGTACATATATGTAAATGCAGGTATTCCACAATCCCTCCCAATCCAAAACACTTCTTGTCTCAGGTGTTTTGGATCAGGGTTCCTCACCCTGTATTACGTTCCTTTGGTAGGAGTTGGAGCCCGTTCAGACGTTGCAGCATTTCTCTCTGATGGTGCATCCTATCCCTGCAGGTCTGCTGATGCCAAGCGCCTTTAGCCCAAGTATGTTGTTGTGGGCTGTGCTGAGTCAACTGCAAGATCCCAATGTAAACTCTGAAGTTGGCACAGGCATCCCTTTTGCTGTCTGTGGGCAAAGTGGTGTCCTAAAAGTGCTTCCCCCACATTATCCCCATCATTGTTGACCCGCTTCACCTCTCAAATGAACATGCTCAAAGAGAGTATTCTTAGTTGGGCTAAAGCTGTACTTGACTTACCAAGAAAGAAAGAAATCTAGTTGATCATATTTCACTTTGCATGTTTCCCTGGATAGAAATTAGATGCCAATGGGTTGATAATGAAGGGAAAGCAAGAGATGGGGTGAAAAATGAGCAGAGTTCAGGGGCTATCTGTGATGCAACTCCCTTTGCTATCTGACCTTAGCACCTGCTGCTGCCAAAGCCAAACTGATACTTTCTGAGCTGAACATGACCTGTGTTTGCTCACCACACTGTTACTAAACCAGAAAGTATCTGCCTTGTGCCAGTAGTGATAAGAGGTATGTCAGTGGGCTGTCTGTCCATACCGTGATGTGTTGTGTTGTGAACACACACTATCAGTTTTCTTATAGCCAAAATCTGGCTCCGATGGAACCATGGAATAAATTGTTGTATCAGCAGAGAAAGAAGCTGCTTAGAACATCTTATTTGAAGCTATTTGTGAGATTGCCTTTTGTTTGACTGGATTCTTTGCCTACAATGAGCCTTGGGCCGTAATAATACAAGTAATCTTTTAAAAGGAAAGAAGGGAACAAGATTTCTCTTGCTTTTCTCGCAATGTTTTTGATTCTGCATAATACTATCTCTGCCCCATGTTTTTAGGTGTTCCGTTTTCTCATTGAATAAGATGAGACACAATAAATGAAAATTGGCACATCTTTTAAAATGCAAGCAATTGAAAATAAGGAATTTTTTTAGTGTTACAAGTGTACAGTATTTATAAAAGAAAAGCTTAGGAAGTTAAATATTTAACAGTCAAATAAAGCTATCTCTGTTGTTCACAGTGGGAACCAGGGAGCTGCTCTTGTTGAATTCCATGTATTGGTTTCTGTCAGGGAAAAAAAGTACATCTCTTCCTACAATCTTCAAATAACTTTGTAGAAGTTGAATGTGGGACTTACATCTATAAAGAACTCCCATTGGTGCTTGCATGCTGTCTTTTGTTGCTGTTGACATTTTAACACATGAATGGAGCACTATGAATGGAACACAGGGACATTTTTGAAAAATGTTTCTGTATGCTACTGGCACAAATATGAGCCATTCTCCGTATGTTACACATGCTGCTTCTAGATAGCTGTTTACCACAAATGCCAGTGAGTAGAAGTCTAATCTGTCACAGACTTATTTGAAAGCAGATGACAGCAAACTCTAGATTTACACACTTACTTGAGAGTAAACACCATGGAGGTCTTGCATCCCACTGAATATGTACAGGAACTACCTCATAATGAGTTGAAGGCCAGAATACAGTTGAATGTTTATCTAATTTGCTGCTTGGGGACTGACTACATCATGTGCAAATATGTAAATGGGAGTTCTGACATGACTTTTAGAAAATGCTGTTTTCAGGGTGACAGATGAGAGTGTAAGGGCTTAGCAGTTGAATTACATTTCTTTTTCTTATTTCATACTCCCTTAAAGGTAAAGGTTTCTCCTTGACATTAAGCCTAGTTGTGTCTGACCTAGGGTGGAGCTCATCTCCATTTCTAAGCTGAAGAACCGGCGTTGTCCATAGACACCTCCAAGTTTATGTGGCCGGCATGACTACATGGAGCGCCACTGCCTTCCCACCGAAGTGGTACCTATTGATCTACTCACATTTGCATGTTTTTTAACTGCTAGATTGGCAGAAGCTGGGGCCAATCAGAAGCTGGGGCCAGTGGAAACTCACCCTGCTCCCCAGATTTGGACCGCCAACCTTTTGGTCAGCAAGCTCAGTGGTTTAACCCACTGTGCCACTGGGGGCTCCTCATACTCCCTTACGTAACAGATTTACCCTTTTTGACATCCAAGGAAGGAGCAGTCCATATAGATCAGGAGCTGAAAAAGTTGTCCGAGGGCAACAGAAGAGTTTACATGGTCCCCAACTTCTCAGAACTCCTTTTTGTAGCATAAAATGAGTGTATTGCATCTTCTGGAATACTTCAGGATCAGTGATCCATTTTATAAATAGGTTGCAGGGTCTGCATGTACCCTTTAACATTAAAAGTGAAGTTTTTCAAAAATTCAAATGTTCTTTTTCTCCTTTGCTTTGGATAGTTTTTGTGGCCTCCAGAAGTCTGGGAAAAAAAACGGATCCCCAGATCTTTCAAAGTTTGCACATCTTTGGCGTAGTGGGAGGAATAGCATTGGTCAGTGGTAAGATGTGTGGTTTCAACCAAGTTCAAATCTCCCCACAGCCACAAAGATCATTAGATGACCCTGTGCAAGCCATCTTCTCTCTAACTATTCTTTATCATTTGCTTCTTGGGAAGTAGCATGAAAAAGGGAGAAGCATCTATGTTCCCTTGAGCTTGTTGGAGTTGGAATAAGAAGATAATTAGTAAAAAAAAAAAGGGGGGGGGGTTTGAATGTGGTCCAGGTTGCTGCTTATTTTGTCCTTCACACTCTGCATACAAAAAGTGTGACTGGTAAAATAGGCGTTTTAATGTTAAAAGATTCACTTCACAGGCATCAAGCCACTTTGGGCTGCTTGGAGGAAGGGTAGGATAAATTGTAGATGTGGGAAAAACGTCAGGAAAGAATGCTTCTAGAAAATGGCCACAGAAACCGTAAAACGCACAGCAACCCAGTGATCCCGGCCATGAACACCTTTGACAAAACTTTAGTTTATTAAAATCTATATTGTGATGCTTTGTTACTTCTCATTCCTGCCTTTCTGTTTCTTAGACTCCTTCCACACAGCTGAATAAAACCCCACATTTTCTGCTCGGAACTGGAATATATGGCAGTGTGGACTCGGATAATCCCGTTGAAAGCGGATATTGTAGGATTTACTGCCTTGATTTTCTGGGTTATATGGCTGTGAGCAAAGGCCCTTAG